AAAGCAAGGGAACATATTTTTTTTCTAATTGTGATGACATAAACAAGGATTCAAAAGCTTTTATACTCACTGTGCGGATCTATATGGAAACTACATAGAAGCTTTCACGGTCGGCCTTTATTGAGTAGTTGGAAGAATAGGGCACCAAACTCAAAACACCAAGAAGCCAAGTTCCGAGTTTCTATAGCTACAGAAGAGCTCTTCTCCTAAAATTTATGTATTTAAGGCATACACATGAACTCTAAGCAATCCTCTTTTCTATGTTTTAACGTTTAAAGATTTAAAAAACTGTCCCTATTTTTACTCTACAAATGAAAATGCCTTTTCCAACTAACTTAGCGTCCTTCTTAACGGAATTTCAGTCCCCCGGGGTTATCTTACACTTGTGCTGGGCCGGAGTATCTTAAGACTCAGCCACAGCTATGCACATCCATCCCGTCTTCCTTCCTGGAATCCCCGGGGCCGGAAGAAAACCGTTATCGGCAGTCACAGCAAGGGCTCCCCTGTGCTATGCACACAGAAGACAGCAGGGGGAGCCAGTGGGAAAGTCGCTGAGGAAAAAAAAAAAAACAACCCTGCTCCAGGCAGCTTCATTTGTATGCCAGGCAGAGAACAGACCAGAAATGGACCAAAAAAAGACAAACTAAGATGCACAAAGAAGTCTTAACGGTGTGTGCAGAGCTGGCGTGGGTGCCTCAGAAACGAACCACAGGAAAACCTTAAGGATGCTCGAATCCCAACTTCAAGACCCACCTTCAGTTTGAAGCCCAGTGGTTTCCAGCGATGCGGAGCTGCCAAAGAGCCCCCCAAAATGTGAAAGCAGAAACAAGTAACAATTTTAGGTTGAGAGCTTCTAGGGAGATTTCAAAATGATTTAATTTTTCTCCTACAAATATCACCGCCCTTACTTGGGAGACTCACTAAAATGTGCCTTATTAGGTCATGAAAGGCTTGGTACAGAGTTCCACAGTGGAGGACCTGGACCCCTGTCCGGCTCTCCCACAAACACTCTCCCCCGCTCAATTTACCTCTTTCAGGAGGAGGGGTGGTGACCAGGAACATCATCAAAGTATTCTGCATTTGAAAGTATTTTAGCCTTGCAAAATTGGTATAGAAGAACAGCAAATTGAGCCGGGCAGTGGTGGCGCACGCCTTTAATCCCAGCACTCGGGAGGCAGAGCCAGGCGGATCTCTGTGAGTTCGAGGCCAGCCTGGACTACCAAGTGAGTTCCAGGAAAAGGCACAAAGCTACACAGAGAAACCCTGTCTCGAAAAAACAAAAAACAAACAAACAAACAAAAACCCAGCAAATAGCCCCAAACTCATATAATATTATGTATGTCCTGAAGATTTTTTTAAAAAGGGTCTACATTTTCAGTCACAGTAGAACAGCTAAGCGCCCCATTTGGTCTGGAATTCTAAATATGGACTTTAAGAAAATTAAAATCCTGAACATCTACATGGAACTTCATAATGTTCTAGTGGTCTAGGGGCCATAAAGACCTTCAAACTACAAAAAATCTGTGACACATAAATGCCAACCAACCTTGCCTTTCTGTTAGGGGGGGTGGGGGATGGGTTGGGGGGAAGCTGGAGGGCACATAATGAGGGAAGAGGGGGATCTTTGATTGGTGTTTGGAATGAATGAAAATTTTTCTTAATAAAAAAAAAAAAAAAACGCCAACCAAAAATAAAAAAAAATTACTCTTGGGCAGTAAACTAGTGAAAGCAAGTACTTCAGATAAACAGGAGCTCAAGAAAATCTGGCCTCCGACTCTTACATTGACCTTTCAAAATTATTATTATTATTTTTCTATCCAGATTATGCTAAGGAAATTGAACCTTCAGAAATGTTAACTTTTTTTTTTCTTTTTCTTTTTTTTTTTTAAAGAACTCAGCCAGCAAAGAACAAACTTCTGACTGAACTTCTAGGTCTGTCCACCTCCAAGCTCTGAGGCCTCACTAAAATTGCTCTCAATTGTAGAAATGAGGTTCCGGGGGCAATCTGTACAAATCTTAGGCAGATTACTGTGCTTATGAGGGTAAATGCTGTAGATTTAATCACTCAAATTAAATGCCATCTGGAATCTCTTACCCCCACCCCCACCCCCAGTACAAGCATCCCACATGTGTTACAGTCAGCCCTGGCCCTGGCCAAAAAAATTCAACCATATTCCTGTCCCTGTACCATCAACCAGCCTATGTACAATGACAGCAAAGGAGAAAATAAGGCCAGTTGTCTGTTAGACGTTACTTTACAACTGCTCGTTAACTCCAATTTCTTTTCCTGAGCTCTTTTAAATATATGAATTATTTGTTAGCAGGGTTGAGGACCAGGCTTCCCACTTTCTACCCCTCAAATCAACGCCCTAATAAATCACGTCTATGATGAGTTTAAAAATCTTGATTTGTTATTAGTGAATTATTGTGTCTTTTAATATATTATGGAAAAAAATTTATTTTAACTTTCACAGAGGAGAAACCTGTCCTGAGCTTTTAAGGCAAAGGAGATGAGCTGAATACATTGAAAATATAGGGTGTGTGTGTATGTGTGTGTGTGTGTGTGTGTGTGTGTGTGTGTGTGTGTGTGTATATACATATACTAAGCAGCAAGTACTTATCACACCGATTCACTCTGATTAGTGATGTCTCAAGGAAGCTGTTCACATTGAACTGAAGGCAGGACGTCACTCAGAGCCCTCAGCTGACAAGTTGTTCTAACCTACTTTATTGCTTGATAGAAGTGGCTTACTCCAGCCCTTGTTTATTAAGCAGAAGGGTAACTTTACAACCTTTACCAGGGACTTTTTCTTCCTAGGCTAACTTTCTCATCTCTGAAAGACCATGCAAGTGGAACACTAGTTTAGAAATGAGTGAGTTTACGCAGAAATGAATAGCTTCGACACTGAAAATCCAAGCAGTAGCTAACTGAGCCAACGTCAGTATAAAATGTATCATGTCCATAATCTATCAACCTTGAGGCTTAAGCGCAGCGGAATGCATTTTGAAAAGTATTTTCTCACTTTACATATGTCTCACTTCAGCCAAATAAACCCACCTCTGGCACATCCCGGAGCAGTTAATACAAAGTTTGAAAACCTTTTGTGACTAAGATTAGACAAAGCCCTGTCTAATTTGATGCCTGTAAAAGAAAGGTATTATTTTGAGCAATTACTAGGATGTAAAGTTTTCAGCTTAAAATACAGACATAAGCCACTTCACAGTTTAAGTCACGATATTGTTCGATCTCACATCAATTATTAAACTCAAATGCTGGTATCAACATTAAGAATATGGATTTTTAAGGAAGGGAGCTGCTCAGGTGCATGAAAAGTGTTGTCAAGTCACACTAAGACACAGGCAAATGCATGCGTCTTGGCAAGGGGCTTTCAGACTTTGATCTGCCTTCTGCTCCTCCGTACACACAAGAGGAGTGAGAACTCAAGCCTCCTGAGAATGGCCCCTCTCAGCATTTTAAGACATTGTTCCTATTCAGCACATGTCTTCTGCTTTCTAAAGCAAATTGTTAAAAGAAAATGATTCATATTTTATGAAGTAAGAATTTGTTAGTCAAATGAGAACAATGGCCCTTAACGCTGCTTGCAGGTAGCTACAGACCCAGTAAGAAAGCAGTCACTGGTCATTCCAATGAAGAGCCACGACAAATTTAGAAACAAGGCCCAGATGACACAAAGAGAGAGAGAGAGAGAGAGAGAGAGAGAGAGAGAGAGAGAGAGAGAGAGAGAGAGAGAGAGAAGCAAGAATGCACATTTGATTATCAAGATGGTACATACCAGTGGGTCAGTGGGGTTAATACTTTGGCGGGAGCTCCTTCAGTTTAAGACCACTTTTCACTACAACAACAATGCTATCTCAATGAACGGCGTTATAATACACCAACCCAGTGGCTGGCTGATAAGCTATGGCATTTTTATAAAACCTGCGTGGGGAATAAAGCAGGTGGGAAAGGAAGTACACACAGAGCTAGCAGAACAAAAAGAAAGCATCATTCAGCAAAAGGCAGGTAACGAGGGGGTGAAATGTCACAATCCTCCTGACCTTGTAAATAGGTGTCCAAACCTACAGCAATAACTTAGTGAGACAACTAACTACTACATACGGACTCTTCCGGCCCTGAGCATCAAATACATAGCCTTCCTTGGCCCCTAAGCCAGCCAGCCAGTCATTAAAAACCACATCATCTCAATTATGTCTTTGCATGGCCAAAGACATAAAGCACACGATTGTGTTGTTGTTCTAAATGCAACTCTGAAAGTACTCCACCTTACCTCCTAGGCCACTTTAAGGTTGCATGGCGCTGAAGGTTACTTCTCAGGCCCCCAAACTCCATTAACTGCCCTGAGCAGCAGCACCTTGGCACATACGGCACAAACGCACAGCTGAAGCCTATTGGTAACTAAATGACCTCAGACACCTGGATTTGGTCTCCAAGACGGAAGGAGACAAAGACAGCATAATGACCCTTCGAACTTTGTTGATATCCTCTGTGGATGTATACCGGGAGCAGAACATTTAAAGGCCCGGATCCCTACGAGGTAACCCTGAGAACCAGAGAAATGGAAGCGAAGGTTGCAAGTTCAGTGAACTCCTCTGAGTTTGAGCGAGGTCAGTGGCGGCGGCGTCCTAAGTGACTCCTCGGAGTCCTGCAACTCTTTTTCCAACCAGGAATCTCTTTAATAATGGGCAACGCCACCAGACCCTACTGGGTTTCTGCTGCAAGGGCAAAGTGTCACTCTAAGGACCCTTCGTTCTAGGGATGCTCGAACTATGTCAAAGTTGCTGTTGTAAAAATGTTTAATCTACCCACTGGGAGGTATGCAAAGAGGAACCTCCTTCCAAAGGAGCAGAACAGCTAACATGCAGTAAGCATGACAAATTTCTCTCTGTGTTTCCCCAGGCCACAGGGATCGGTGATTCCCCAGCGTGGGAATCAGCAGTCTAGCAGCGTCACTGACACCCGAACCGGAGCAGGGGCTTACCTTGTTGGAGGCCATCTCACTGACGGAGTGCCTGGTCTGCAGGGTCTCTAGCTGGTCCAGACACCAGTCCAGCTCCTCCAGGGTCTCGCTGGCCAGTTTCTGGTAGGCCTCCTCTGCGAAGAGACAGGGAAATGGGGACTCAGTTCTCAAGCGCTTCACGGGGCCACCAGCGAGTTCAAAGGGGGCCATCCTGCCGTACCCCGCCATGCTCGGATGCCCGGTGCCCGCACATGAGGGCTGCTCCTTCATATTGCCGGGCCCGGCGGCGGCGGCGGCGCGTAGGGGGTTGAGGCTGGACTGGCGGGGCCGGGCTCAGGCTGGCCAGGATGCTCCAGCTTGACGTCGCGGGTCGGCCTCCAGGGAGGGGCGCAAAGTGCTGCAGGCCAACTTTTGGCACGGGGACGCGGGCGGATTCTCAACGGCGCAAGCTCGGGGTTCCCTGCGCTGGGATGCTGCCCGGGGTGGCGCGCTCCCGCAGGAGAGGTGGAGTGGGGAGGACGCTCCGCACACCGGCGGGCCGGCGGGCGGGCGAGCGGTCCACGGGTGTCCGCGTCCCGCGGCCGCGGCTCCACGCCGCCTCCCGCCGAGCCCCGCGCGCGAAGCGAATGAATCAGCCGCGGCCGCCGTTTCCTGTTTTGTCGCTCAAGTCCGCGGGCGGGCGGGCGCAGCGCCGCTCCATGCTGGCTTTCCGGGAACACTCCCCCTCGCGCCCCTCGCGGCCCCGCGGCGCTGTCTGGCTCCCCCGCGACTCCTTACGAAAGGATTCCGAATTGCAATCGGCTGCCCGGGTCGCCCGCCCCGCCACCACCTCGCCGCGGCATCGCCCCGGAGGCAGCCGGGCGCCTCGGCTTTGAAGCGCAGCCCGGGAGGCGCGGCCGTGCCCGCGCGTGTGTGCGGCGCTTTGGTGGGGCTGCTCTGCACCAGAGCCGAGGAAAACCCGGCGTGGAGCACCCGCCACCCGCCGCCCGGGGTCCCCGCGGGGCTCAGGCGGGGCTCGACCGGCCCCCAGCGCGCAGGCGCGTGCGACCGAGCGCGCACCTGCCCCGCGGGGACCCAGGGCGCACAGCGGAGTCCCCGGCCAGCTCTGCCCCAGCTCAGCCTGCCAGGCCTGGGCGAAAGCAAGGTGACTTAGGACAGACACTACCCTTCCTGCAGGTTGAGGTTTGGGAGTTTCCCCGGGATTTACTTACTTGAAAAGACAGGATTATGGGAATAAAATAATTTCTACTAAGGACAAACTACCAATACCCAGCCAGCCCCTCTAAAATTTAGTGTGGATGTTAACAGACAAACCATAGCATCCTGGGGTCAGAATGCCTTCGAACTTGGCAACAGGCTGCATTTCACGTTCAGAATCACCTTAAAGGAACAGCAATGTGAAGGAACCACAGGGTAAGATTTACACATGCCCTGCCTCAGGGTGTCTCCTCTGCAGAATGCACGAGAACACCCTGGACTTGGGTCCAAGGCAGAAAGTTTGGAAGTCTGTTTCTGCTCACCATAGATGAAATAAACATCCAAAGCATTGTGGGGGAAATGGGTTCTGTTGATAAAAGCTGACCTTGGGTACCTTCCCTCAAGGGATCAGGTCCAAAACTGACCAGAAATACGACTTCAGCGAGAGAAAAGTAGAAAGCCCAAGGGTCTAGCCTACGAAACTGTCAGCAGAAAGGACTGGGGTCCTCCTTTTCGAAAATCTTCTGATTGACAGTATTGTGGGGCAAAGAAACTCTGTCCCCGTGTAGACCCCACTAATGATCAAGCATGGCAAAGAATTTTGTGGGCTGAATGTCAAGATTCTGGGATCTCCATTAAATGTGTAAGTTTCAGTAAACTTCCCGATTTGTGGTAGGCCTACTACTTGGCTTGTCGCGATCCAAGATTTTTAAGCCATATGCTCGTCATTTTGAGTGTTGTGCGTTCAAATTGGCCTCTGTTTGTGTTTTCCGCCATCATTAATCTCTGTAAATAGACTTTGAGTCAACAGCTGCCTAAAGCTTGCCAGGTGAGCTGAAATTGAAGGCTGATACTTTTTTTTTCTTTAACAAAGGAAACAATCTTAAAGATAAATTACAAGGAAAACATTAAATATTTTATCTGTTGAGTTTTCCCCTGATTATAAAACTGTAAAATAGTACATACATGCTTGTATCTTTTATACACACACACACACACACAAAACATAGAAAGTCCTTTGTAGTCCCACAACCTAAAGATCAGAAGCAATAGTTCAACATTTAAATATACTGGATCCATTCCATATAGTACGCTGAGCATTCTCTGGACACCGTGGCAGTCCCATTTATTATATGGCTCTATTGTTGCTGTTTTCCTTTCTCTACTCTGTAAAACAGGAAATCATTTCTGGTCACAGGCGCTGTCCATAGTGTGTACATCCAGTGCATTCAGAGGCATAAGCGATTGTGTAGCATCCATCTCCTGTCATCTTTTCAGTTGTCCAAAGCCAGGGGTCCTCTACACATCTCTAAAGCTTGATGTCCTGTGTCCCTGTTTCCTGCCACCCAGCTCTCTGAAAGCCTGAGTTCCAGGGGACCTCCCAGGACGTGGCAGGCACTCCCTGACCCCACCTTTACTGTCTTAATGAACGTTTTCTGAAATCAGAAGTAGAATTCAGACCTTGGACCTAGCAGGATATGGATCTATGTATTATGTTTCAGTCTTTATTTTTTAAATGTGGAACAGTAATTTCGACAAAGTTTCAAGTTAATGCTTCAAGACATCGTGCACTTAGACCCGGGTTAGTCTGTGAGGGGGTGGTCCAGCAACATGGGAAGTAATTGGTTTCAGAAGACCCATTCCATATTGAAATCATCGCTTAGTGATTTTGACTATAAGAAATCAAGCAAGATCACATTCATAAGTTCCAAAATCTCCTACATGCTCTCTATATATTTAGAGAATGAAATTACCCTGAAACATGTACGTATTGGTGAGAGAATATTTACATACCACAGAATAAACAAATCCCTTTTGTAAAACCATGGCTGGAATAAAGACCTGTTGGGCTGAGAAATTACTTCTTTTGGACTGAGGCAATGTGACCAGCTCCAGGATTTTAGGGTCACTATTAAGTCTTCACTTTCAGGAATTTTGACCCCAACTATACTAAGACATCGAGTAACTGACCTTTCCATCCCTCCCCGCTGGGTGGGGGGAGACTCAATGTGAAGTTGCCAGCTAACCTACAGGAAATTGAGTCACCACACCAAACAACACACCTAAATGTCATCTGCCGTCAGCTGGACCAACACGGCGGGCCAGTTTAACGTTGGCCTTTACCAAGAACACATGCAGCATTCATTAACAAAATGCCCCCTAGGGGGTCCTATATGCTGTGGCCCTACTTAAAAATATATGAAAACTCTTCCATTTAACTGTCCGAGTGTTGCTTAACTTGAGGAGGTAATGAAAGAAAACACTTCACCCAACACTACTGGCTAAACGCCACAGAGACGGGAAAAGGGCTGGGTCACAGGCAGCTAAGGAATAACATGAGCGTTGGTGTTCTTCAAGGCACCCTGAGCTGTGCAATACCGTGCGTCTGCTTTAACTCCCCTGAGTCTAAGTACTACTCAATACTTGTGGGACGGCACTTGGCTTCCGTCATAGTAATGTGCGCAAGGGTTCCCCTGACACATGGCCTGACATCTTGCCAAGGGCTCCGGAGAGGATGCTGAAACAGCAGCTTCCCTTTGAAAGGGAAAAAACGCCGTCAGCTCGGAGCCACGGGAGTTGGCTACAGGCTGAAGCTGTTTTCCTGTGAAATGTTGGGCCCATTACTCTTACCCACAACTCACTGTGAGGTAAAAAGAGTCACGCTGCAGGACATGAAGATTGGAAAATGCTAAGTTTCTTTGTCAATGTCTGTGGGGGCTAAGGGTCTGTATAGGTCTGCCATCATTCCTAGAGAGGCCTACGGCGACAGAACAAGTCAAAACACAAAGTAATAACACAGGCAAACTTTGGGTACCACTTGCTACTCTCCATTTAAAAATTCACACAGAATGATCACAGCTGACTCTTTTTTTTAATTAAATACATCAAATAAAACAAACACAACTTCTAAGAGAAAATGCTCAAACATGCCTTTTTAATGTATTCCAATTTCTCCTCACCCGATCCACACTTCAGTGCCCTTTGTCCTAAGGGAAGAATTGATGAATGTATGGAGTGGGCAGAGAGAGAAAATAACTTCTGCCCTCCGTGTGAGCTAATCATTCCTCGGCTCTGCTACAGGAGAAGATCTGCGCAGGTTACCACTAACTTTGGCTGACACAGCCCCCCCCCCTTACGTTTTAACTGATGGAAAGTATATGAAGACCCTGGATTCTCTTTCAGTGTATATATATATATATCAGGTTGAGGCAGAGTGTCGACAGCAAGATGCTCCCATTTCCTAGGATATTTCTGGCATAGAGTTCTTGTTTTGAAGTATTTTTAAATCATATAAAATACATAAACTTTCACTTCATGCTTCAAAGAAACACTCAAAGTAGAGATATGTGTAATATTTTTGAGTCCCCCCCATTTCCCCAATAACTACGATTTTTTTTTCTAGAGCTGCCAAATGCTCTAGTAGAATTTTGCAAATGGATTGACTTCTATTAACTTTTAGTCTGCTCAATGGCTCAACATTTATCTGGCACCATGTGATACGAACTTTATTAGAGTCTGCAGAAACACAATGAGAGTGTGAATGTGTCCCTTATCCAAGGGAAGACCAGAGTCTTTCATTGAAGACAATTTTAGCACTCCATACAGTGGAAAAGGAAGGGAGCTCACGGACTGCGAGATGGTAAAAGAGCCTGTTTAAGTCATACTGGCACACAACCGGGGCAGAGAAGGCTTAGTCCTGGGGAAAGAAACCCAGTGTGGTGGTTACTGTAGATCATCAAAACTACAGGACGTTGATGGGGCACACCTTTGGACTAGACGATGAGGACTTTCTAGGGAAGGAATAACTAAAGAGCTGGGAGCCTTCCTGAGTGTGAACAGCACTAGACCATGAATCGGGACTCCAGACTAAATAAAAAGGGTAAGAAGCAGAGAGGCCCGTGAGCATCAGCACTCTCCTTTTCTCCAAGAGATGTGA